CCTACAATAGTTTTGTTACACCCTATATGTATATGTACCTATATTTCATTACTAAATTGTGTCGCAAATTACACTAACATTGTCGTTTATTCGTTCCCAAAAATAATGAAAATATACCTCACAATTTTCTTATCAGAAGAAAATACTTCGTCATAACACTAGTCATCATGATTTTTGTCCCAAAGAACAATTATACTGATTCTTACAGATCTTCTTGTACTGAATACGAATCTGTAAACAGTTTTTTGTCATCACCCTCAGTTTCAGAGAAATTTGATTTTTTTTAAAAATGCAAATTTTCAACTTTGTATATTTCCTGTGTTCAAACATTAATAGTTATTCAGTTGATTGTCCCGTCAAATTATTCTGCGTTCGACTGTCGCTCGGCTGCCGCCTTTGAATATCACTGCCAGCGTCGCAAGTTTTATGAAACTATTTCGATCCTGTATTGAACACAAAACGTGTCTTACCATTTCTGTTAATGCTTTCCGGGAGACAAATGTTTACTGTATCTGCTGACGCAGTCAGATTATGTTCTGCACCCTTATTTTTTTAAATAAATTGAACAATATCTGTAAAAGTTAGTGCATTTTGGGTGTCCTTTTCCTTTTGATCGTTGTTTAAACATATTTAAATGTTTATAATGCGATAATAACGTATACCATTTTATTCGGGAGAGTTTACAGAATAATTTGACGGAACAATCAACTGAATACCTATTAATGTTTGAACACAGGAAATATTCAAAGTTAAAAATTTGCATTTTTAAAAAAAATCAAATTTCTCGTAAACTGAGGGTGATGGCAAAAAACTGTTTACAGAATCGTATTCACCGCAGAAGAATCTATAAGAATCAGCAACTCGATGTTCGAAGACAAACAAAAAGTTAAATCTTCTTGTCCAGTGATTATTATTCTGTACATGTACACAGCCATATTAACTTCAATTTAAAAGCTTAATTCTAAAAACTTAATTCTAATAGAACAAATACAAAATATATTTCAATATGTGCCACATAAGTGTAATATTATTTGCCCAAGTACTTGGATTAAGAGTAATTCCTTTTCATTGTACTCTACTTCATTTTATAAATGTATAATAAGTAACAGTCCCTGGAAAAGTATTCAAATAAAAAGACGAGCGAAAGTAGCGATCACAGAGAAACAGAAGTTTAAACTAATGTAGTCGATTCACGGCCAATGCACAGTTGAAACTTCCACGAAGAAGGAAGTAAAGTTTAATCGTTTCAAGGTATCTCTAGAAAATCCCCATTGAAGTGTACATGAATTTTCTCTGTTCTCTGATGAAATCCGGTCGCGTGTCACGAGAAAAGCAGTAATCATTTTCTTTTCGTAACCGGTTTATTCGCACTTTCCTTCTGCGTGAGTTACCATTTCAACGGGGTGCAATCTATATTTGTTGGATTCTCGAACTTCCCCACGCGTTTTCTCGTCGTCACCAATTACGCTGACTCTGAGAAAACGCGTCTGTGATTTTGCATAGCTGAGCTAATTACCTTTGTGACTCGTGACCGAGTCTTGTTACGATTCCTCGAAGTCGGCCTCACCGTGAAAACTCACACGTCGGCGAATTAATATCGCGTGAAAGCGACGCATGTGCGAGGCTGATATTTTTCAAGCGTGAGCAAAAGCATACAACTGCGTTGGAACGACGGTATAATTACAATTGAAATAAATATGAAAATACTAAGCCATCCTCATAATTAACCCTTAACTGGCAAGGTGGAAATCTTATTGCCTATAAATTAATGCAAAGATCTTACTATACACAAATGTTATTGCTTATTACACAACTAATTCTTCTGCATTCTCATGTAAGAAATTATCGAAATAAACAAGCATTTCTTGAAGTCCCTGTTGATCAAAAGTAAAATCTTCTAAAAATATTTATGGAATTCCCAAAACCTTCCTTACCAATTAAGGGTTAATATGAATTATCAAATTAATTTTAAGCGTAAAAATGCTGTTTAAGAATACACCTTAAAAAAACTACAAATATGGGGAAAGTACAGTACCACCTACTATCCAAATAATGAACAGTAGATTCACAACTAACAGTAAGGAGAATGTAACATCAAACCTAACAAGAAATAAACAGATTACGATTTCCTGAAATAAAATAGGACACACTAAAATAACCCATTTGAAATGTACCAGTACAGGAATTTACTCCCAAAAAATAGTCATCCATTTTGGACAAATATATCGTACAAATAACTGTCAGTCACTTGATTATGTACTGCAGTAAATATTTGTCATTGCGACAAAGAAACTACATAAACTATAACTTAGGAGGGAACTTCTTGAATAGCGTGTAAGAGCTCTTTGAATTTCCAAAATGAACTCATATCGTTTTACTTTCATGGAAAATTTGATTTTTGAGAATAAATAAAAGTCCGTTGGAACTAAACCCGGCGAATGGGGTGATGCAAGAGTGTTATCACCTAGTTTTTAGCCAAAAAACTTACTATTGTCGAGGTGTGTTTTGGTCCGTTCTCGCGCAGAAGAAACCATTCTCCGTTTTGGAACAAATTCGGTCACACCGGATTTAACTCCAACAGACTTCCATTTATTGCCGAAAGTCAAACTTTGGACAAAGGGAATACGATTTGGGGACATTTTGGAAAGTTAAAGAACCGTAACAAATTGTTCAAAAGCCATCCCAAAATATGATTTCCCCAGGGCTTTTGAAGAACTTTTCGAACGCTTTAAGCTGTATATTCTAACGGGCGGCGCGCGGCGTTTATGTAGAGAACCAAGTTAATAATATTTGTTTATGTCCAAAATGTATGCTTTTATTGAATTATTCCGGGAGATTTCCGAATAAACCTTGTATAAATGAACATTATTGTGAAACATAAATTATTCCTAAAACTGCTCTTAACCATTCACATTGTAGCTGTTGTTTTCTGTGATCGTATTCGGCTTCCATGTTTTCGAAATCAGAAAGCTAGTGGGATTATGTGTAGGATAATCTAATTTACAATACCATAAAGATTTATGAAAATATTATATGAATTTTGTAAGGTGTGTACAGGAATGTAAAATATGTAAATTTTATCAGAATGAAACAACACATATCCAAATTTGAATTGTTTCAGTAATTAATTCACTTCAAAAGCTTCACTCAATGAATTCTTTGCTAAAAAATTGAATTTAACAATAAGTTTTGTCTATTATTAATTTATAAAAGTAGGAACAAATATATAGATAATAGAAGCGAAATTTTAGATGCACAGATCTAATATTTCCTACGCATTTGAATGAAATAAAAACTTCGTGACTCACATATGTGATAGATTATTTACTGTAGTATACATTGGGATCTCTTTGAATTATGAACATACCGCTGTTCATAATTGAAATGTTTTAAAAAACTTCTCTTTGCGCATTAGCTCATTCTTGAAAGAATTCATTTAAAACATTTTATTCTCGCTCTAATTTATTTATATTTATGTACATATTTACATATGTATTCTTATTTATTAATTATTCATTGTATGTAGTTTAAATGATTGTTATTTTTGTACAGAGGAAGTCGCGGTTAATTGCAATTTGAGATTACAATCTGCAATTTGATTCAGCGGTTTCTACGAAAAGGGAATGAAATTTCACGCGAAAAAATAATATAGAGAGTGACTTACGCAACTGTAACAAACCATGTATCTTTTTTGATTGGTGTCAGAAAAAAATATTACAGTTAAAAGTACTTTCTTTACAAGTACAATAATGCATGTACATTTTTCCGTTACACTACTTTTTTAAAATGGAAACCATCCTTTTTTGTCACGCTATGTAACAAAGTATTAGGATAACATAGCGAGATATTTTGAAAAATTAAAAAATAGGTCTACTTGTTAAAATAATATAAATTCACGTTCTTTAAATTCTGTAGAAGACGCAAAAGAACAAATAAACCTAAATTGGAAAAGCAATAACCAAAGATCAAATTAATTCGGTTATGAAAACGATTTAAAAAACGCTGTACGAAATATTTAGGATGTAATGGAAATGCGTTTGAGCATTACCTTTAATAAAGACACTTTTGCAAAATACCTCGCGACCTAATCATTTTTCAGCCATGTTACCTTACACTTTTTTTACATAGAATGGTAAGGTTGGGAAAACAAGAAATGGAAGATTGGCATTTTAAAAAATAGTGCAATTGCAAAATGCACATGCATTATTACATCTGCGAAAAAAAGAGGATCGTGAATATGTAGTCCACCTTGAACCATTCATCCTTGTCACCTAACATTTATTTTTAACTTCAACCATAGAAAAGATATGCGTGAATCGCCCTGTACATAGTAAGATACGTCGCATAATATTTATATGAATGCAGAAATAATTGTTAGCAAGAATAAGAGTTAACATAAAATATACGCTACGCGAACAAATCATATATTTTTGTTTAAATAATATTTAATTAAAGAGACGTATAGCGATTTTTAGTGTTAAAACAGGGTGAACAAAGATAAGGTTTATTGGGACAATTATCACAGCATGTGATCACATACTTTTCATCTTCTGATGTCATATTAGTTATTATAAGAGGAATTAATATAAACATTTCATGTAGGTATTAGAATTGGATGATTGGTCTATGGGCAAATCTAATTTGAATTTTGTAATTTGTATTCGCTTCATTGTATTACTTCTACCTTGTATAGTAGGACTATGTAACTGTAGCCGTATAAACAATAAGAAACAACATATAACGCACTAAAAAAACAATTTACAAAGTTACGTCAATAGCAGTACGACACGTCGCAACTTAAAAACATACCACTACATCGCATACCTCATCGATGGCCTATTATATCGTAACTGTACTATACATGCTAATTATGTGATCAATTAAATGATATGAAATATTTCATGATAATGTTCCTTCCTATAGTGAGATTTTATTATGAGAAAATAATGCCCTCTACTTTATATTACATTATGCATGCATGTAATTTTTGTTTGTTCCAGAATTCAACGCAACGCATCTACTCAAGCCGAAACGTTAGGTATATTTTTCACCAAGCAGATATCAATTCGATAAGAGAACATAACCATGACAATTGGAAGGTGGTTGCCACCAAGATGACCTTGAGGAAACCGATAACCACGTTTTCGTGGCTATTACGATCGTACAAGAGGCGAAGATTTAAGCACGAATGGATTACGTTTGTGTTTATCTGCCTTGTAGCAAGGTGTTCAGCCAGGAACAATCCACCGCGGTTTCTCATCGACGGTCAGACGGAAATTGTTCTGAGATTGAAGGAAGGTTCCGATACACCTGTTGGTAAGAACATGTGGAAATTTCATTCTGCCTCGATGCACACTGGTTCACAGTCATGCATTTCGACTGAGCATTATGTTGAACTTCCAACGAGTTTTTAATTTCATTTTAACACATTTCTTAACGTCTTTATGCATTATTCCTCCAAAGTATTGTCGGTGGAACGATTGAAAAATTGGTTCTGTACTATTTGTCGATCAATGTGGCAATAAATTTAAACTAGAAATATAAAATTTTGAAATATGGTAATTCATTGGGCTTTGAACGTATATGAATGTTGCATTTGATTTGTACTAGTCTTGACTACCAATTAGTAAGTTTCCTGTTATTTCACTATTGCACAAAGATATACATAGGAATGGTAGCGATTTCAATATCTTCGCTGTGTTCATCGTGAACAGTTAAATAATTTCTTTCTTAATATTCTTCAATATCTTTGCTGTTTTCAGATTATTTTAACGTAATTGAAGAATCAATACATCGTATATTTAGAATCAGCCAAGGATTGTGTTTACTCCATAACAAATTATTCAAAGAAAGTGTATGAAATGTACATGTATATATAATACAATAAGATAAGCACAATGTTTTCGTTACATACATATATTCAAGGAATTTTTTTTAATTACATCCTGGAATTAATTTTAACTAGTCACGAGCTGTTTAACGTCTAATGAAAACTACTGATAAGCTACAATAACAGTACATCCTCGTTTGAATTATTAATAGTTTTAATTAATGAAAAATCAGACTTGCGGTTGTAAATATCTTGGTATTGAACTATGACCATCTTGGAAAGTGATTTTGTTTTTATTTTTGAAATATTGGAGATTATCTCCTTAAAACAAAATTTCTAAAAATCTATTGAAAATCTATGTATATAAAGTTCAACACAGAAGTACTAAATAATTAATATTTACGATGAAACTTTTCACTTTTTTAATAAGTATTAATGAGTGTCACATTAATTATAATAATTATACCACAATTTGATTCTTCAATATTATTAATATGACAAACACATACAGGTACACTTCCTTCAAATCATACCATATTAACTGTGGAAAATGTTCGTGTACTCTAAATCTTATGTACAATTTTCATTGATAACTTTATTTACCAATGTACAATGTTGTCTTTAATCGATGATTTACCAGAAATAAGTATGATCTTGTTATTTAAATTATAGTAAAGAAAACAATGAAATGATTACTATTTTGTAGATATATAAATATATTTCTTACATATTCCTCGCATATATTTTCCATATTACGACATATTATACCTATGTAAACATTGGTAATCTACTTATGAGGTTCACAAGTTTAGATTTTCGTACGCGTCCTCCCATACTTATACGCAATATCTACGGTGTAAGCAGCATTTGTGTGCATTTAAATTAATTTCTCCGTTTATTCGTTGGCGCATCGTGATAGCATTCGTGCCAACTGATTTCTGTTGCAGGCAGTTTAATTTACAGGCTTCGTGGCATCGATCCTGATGGTGACAGCCTGACGTTCGGTGTTAGAGACCAACCTGGCAGCGACGTGATTCGGGTCGAGAATTTTAGTCCGAATGAGGCCAATATTTACCTGAACAAATTACTGGACAGAGAGGTAATCTATCCTTGCGACGCACGATCTGTTCCGACGTAGTGATTGCGATTGACCGCCTTCGACATCAATGTGGTGAAATTGCTTCAAGTAGTTCAAATAGAGTGTGAATCTTAGCAATTGCTTCTCTTAAAATAGAGATTGCCTTGTCTTTTATAGGATTAAACATTTAAATCAGATTCTCTAAAAAAAGGTCGCTAAAATATTATACAGGATAATTTTTTTATTTTCATTAGAGTACTATAAATGTTGGAGTCACTCTGAGATCGGTAACGTCTTTGAAAAATGAAATTTTTCAAAGTTGTTGTTGAAAATCTGAATCAACAACTGTAATCCGACAGAATGTACTGTCTGAGAAGAAGGTAGGGGAAAGGTGTCTAAAACGATCCCTTTAAGGCGTAATTTACATAAAAAATACAAATGCTCATTATTTAAATAAAAGTAAAGTAGTTTTTGTAAGTTAGTTTATCTATCTTATCATTAGTTTAATAAAGTTTAGCTATGTGATCAATTATATTTTTTATTCGCATTTCTTTGAAGGCATATTTAAGGATCATTTTGTAATGTATGTATATAAAATGATCCCCGAGGATCACATTTTTCACAGTTATTACATTTTATTTAAATGAAAACAGCTTTGACGCGTTGTTTTTCTTTCATATTGACAGGGCATTGTTGTAACCAGAGATAGGCAAACTCATTATCTAGATAAAAAGTTTCAAATAACGAATAAAAGATAAAAAAAGTATTTCGTCATATCTAATTGCTTAAACGTGGAAATAATTCTTATAATAAAATAATACCTATTTATGAATGAATCGACATTTGTTGAACAATTATTTAATCTCATTAACTGTTTAAAGCCCAGAACGACACCCTTAGATACTGTGCTTTTCACTGTGTATTATTCGAATAAAATTCTGCCCAACTGTGGTTGTAAGTAAAACAAGAAACAATAATATATGATATGGGCAAAATGACTCCTGAGATGATTTTATTCTACTAGAGAGGGATCATATGACCCCAAACACCCAACTCACATTTAGTGGTTGAATATAACATCAACTTATTACATGTGGTAACGAAACATTAATTAACTTATTATTGAATTGTGGTTAAATCCGCGCAAGAAGCAGCTGTCACATTAAACCATTTATGACAAAAGTTACACAACATTGAAAAAGACCTTATATTAGATAAACTGCAGTAATTTTACATTTTTCTTGTGGAAAACACACAGAACACTGATATTCAGATGGCACTTCGAAAATTAATTTCTTTTCCTAAACTGGTTAGTATATTCATCAGTACCCCCTGAACTCTTTATACAGTATCATGTTTTAATTGTTATCATTAATTGTCGATAATTTCGTAAGTAATCAGGAGATGGATTGAATTATAGAATTGGTTGACAGATTGTTGGAGGAGAACGTGAACTGTAACATCGCGGTAGAAGTAGATTTTATTACGACGATTCGGTGGAGAACTTTTATTTGCTCAATGAATAATTCGGTATACGGTTCATGTGGTATCCCATTTACAGCCATTTTCATCGTGCCGACCGAAAACAGGGACACTTGAAACATCGTCAAGACGAGGATGCACCGTAAAAGAGTACAACTGCAAGTGCAAAAAGGACAGACTTATGCGACGGTTTCCGCGCAGTCGAGCAGAGTCGGCTTCCCTACGTTGTTGCTATAGTGGGGGAGATTGTTTCGCCAATCGTTCAATGGGCGACGATGGCGCCACTGAACAATCACCGATATACGGTGGTTATCGACAGACTGGTGACCAATTGTGTTTATTACTCATTTCACTGGCATTAAAATACATTGCTTCTATCCTCAAACGTTCAATCGCGCAAATTTGGTTGCTTGTCGAGTACTGAAATAAATGTTCAACTGAATGTAAATTATTTGAATTCATTACAGAAAAATTATTTGAAGGGATGCAAAATATAGTGATTAGTGACCGTATTAGAAAATGTTAAAATTCCTACACTTGCAATAATTTTCAAGTACACACATACACAATATTTAGATCCTTTGCATTTCGTTATTATAACATTCACTAGTGTCTTCAGAATTAAACACACATTACCATTGAAAGAAATGTATGTGTAATACGTCATAAATCAATTAATGTTAAGTACTCTGTAATTATTCATAGTGAATATTGTGGGTGAGTGTTCTCGACAATATTTAGCGAAATCTCACTCGCACTTCAATTGTAAGATGAAATTGCCCAAAGGAAAGAAGAATGAATTCACACCGCGCAACTGGTTAATAAACTTTATTATAAAGTGAGTGTGTTAACTATAAACTGTTCGAGAGAATCTTATCGATATTATACGTCCGGTGGTTGACGTGAATCTCCCGTTCACGACGCAGGAAAATTCACTCCACCCGATGAAAACTAAAAAGTGGGGCATTGGGCCCTACCAACGCAAATGCTAGGGCGCTTTCCTAGCCCACGCAACGCCTACAAACCCAAAAGAGGGGATGCGTCAGACAACGTGGAGTCAGCGGAATAACAAGGGTAGCGCCAGGATGGCTACACAAAAGACTCTTGTTCCCAAATATCGAACTCCGGGCCTTACGCAATGCGTGGCTAGGTTTACGCTACGTCAAGTGCCATCGATAGCGGTACGGTCAGGTCAACTTTCCCAGGAAGTCTCCTGCCGTATTTGAGTCCTAAACAATAAATTTAAGAAAAAGGCACCAGCCGACTCTCAAAATAACATTTCTTAATTTACCGTAACATAAATTAAATTACGATGGCCTTAACATAAGCTCGTCTCAACAAATATGTTAATGAGAATTTTCTTATGCCATGTAATGCTTGCATTAACTGTGTATTTTAGTTATGTACAATTAGTATTAGCACTCTCAAGTTTCAGTATTAATAAGTTATAGACTCTTAGTAGTCCAATAAAGCAAATCAAATATGTTCAGCACGTAAGTACATTCTATCAGCTTCAGCTTCTGCAGCTTTCAATTATTCATTTCAAAAGAATGAAACTCTTGGGGTAGTTTAAAAGTACAAAAAACAAATATTTATCAATTTATCTAGTAATAACTTATACTTTCACATAAGAATAAGAACTATCAGACTGCAGATATTATGTAAAACAGGATCAAATAAGAATCTTCATAAGCTTTCATCATGTTTTTAATTTATATTATATGTTTGTTAATTTCAGTTGTTTTATATTAATATGTAATGGTACATATTTGCATAAACATTTATAGTTCAGTAATTATGACAGAAAGTGGGTAAAACTAATTGTAACTAAATAAACATTACACACAGAAGTGTATTAGATACTCTTATGCATTGCACCAAACCGTAAACTAGCTTCAAAAAACAATTTCTACTACCTACTTAAAAATACTATTACTTACTTTGAAGCTGACAGAAGAAATGCTAGTAATTGGTACGGTCGCTGTTACGTTGCTACGATTCTTTACATCTCGCACGAGTGATCTTCATTTCTCGAATACCTTTCACGCACCGTGTACAGCGTGTTCATGTTACCGGTTGTCTCGATTTTTCAGACACTTCCGATAATCCAACAAAAAAATATTATCAACAAACGTTTTTCAGTACATAATCAGCCTACAATAAATTGTAACATTAAAAATTGTCAAACAACTTTTTATTTTATATAATTTTTTCTATTCAGTGTTGTAGGTGGTATCTACACAAATTCAGCGATATCAAAAAAGTTGAATTTTTTTAAATAAATTGCTTAAAAAATCATTCTTAAATGTAATACGATTTCTTATTAACGCGTGAATTGAAGATGGATGTAATTCAGTGATACTTAGTAACTGAATGTAAACAGTAAGTAGACTCGTCAGAAATTCATAATGGTGCGTAATTATATTATTATCGAACACCTAATAAATGCTCAAATTGCATACCACCTATATGCACGGTCACCTTTGACTTACACTTTAATAAAGGATCTTATTAAGCGTATGAATGATTTTCTAAGCAAATTACTGACAAGAAGATAACTTTATATGGCATCGCAGAATTTGTATTAATGCCTTCTATAATACTGGATAAAAAAAATTAAATGATGTCACTTTAAATAGTAAAGGTGACTTCGATTTTGTATTGAAGAACTAGTTTTTTGACGATTTTCAAGATTTCGATTTGTTGTAAATTGGTTACTGACTACCTTTGTTCATAAGCTTCTTTTTTTCAAAAAAATTCAAACGTTGCGATGAACACCCTTATGCACAGTGTTAATAAAAATGTGGGACATTTGCATAGGATGGATTCTACACGCCAAATTGACACGAACATCAGGAATGACGAAATTGCGTTTGAAGCTTCGTTTCTGAGTTATTAATTGATGAAAATTCGGGCAAAATACTACTTCAATAGTCGATTTCCAACCGATACATAGGATCGATCAATGACCTAGTTAAATTTATGAATGAAATAAAATCAAATGAATGAAACCAACGCGTGAAACAATTGAAGAGCGTGTCTCTCAAATAGAATAACTTGCCTTGTCAGATATATTTCACGCCTACTTTGCTCGTTTTTTCAACAATTAATAACTGAGAAACGAAGCCTTGAACGCAATTTCGTCATACTTGATTTTTATTTTAATTTTGCATGTAAAATACACCTTGTGAAAGTGTCTTACATTTTTATTAACACCCTGTATATTGTGTACGTTCGATTAAGGTTACAACAGTATCGAACATATTAAAGAGAAACTCGCGGACAAGCAGTCGAGCAAGAGAAGAATACAAATAGTGATCTCCGATGAATCTAATCGGGGAAGTCGTTATTTTGTCATCAGCATCATCTCCCTTCAGCGTGACTGTAGTGTGCGAGTTAATTTCCTGCTAAAGGATGCAGCATCTCCTCAAATTAATAGTTTGGTACTCCGTACATGACGACAATGATAGATAAGCTCGTTTCTCGAAGTAAATATCTTTGTGCTATTTTCTAAGTAACAATGTCATTTGCATATAATCCACTTTCACTGGCCATTTGATGCTATCGATCTCATATTTTAGACATTTTAGTCATTGAATAACGTTACCGTAAAGCAGAGATGGGCAAAATTTTGAATAATGAATAAAAGATAAAAAGATTTTATTCGATATTCGAAGCTTGAATAAAATAAGTATCTTTATTCGACGAGCGTCGATTGAATAAATTTATTCGAGGAGAATTATGCGACAAATAAAAGATACTTTTTTTATTCGGGACGTTTTATTCCTTTAATAAATGTATACTGAAAACTATAAAAGATTAAATTTTCATTCGTGCGTACTTCCTTATCTCATCTACGTCTGTTTAGATTGTATGCCGACTGTGGCTCGCTGGCCTTTGACGTTCGACGCTCGACGCTCGCCAACGCGTTTTTTGAAGCTGGCTGGCTGGCCAAAGTTATTTGAAGATTTATTCAAAGCCTTCAGATAAAAGAAACAAATAAAAGATAAAAATATCATCAGCGCTATCAATAAAACGCCCCGAATAAAAAAAGTAACTTTTATTCGTCGGATAATTCACGTCGAATAAATTTATTCAATCGACGCTCGTTGAACAAAGATACTTTTTTTATTCAAGCTTCGAATAACGAATACAGATAAAGTATCTTTTATTCGAACAGTTATTTAAATAATTTTTTATCTAGATAATGCCTATCTCTCCCGTAAAGGTGTTATTAAAATCGTAAAATGTATATTATATTATCAATAGAAGTTCTTTCTCGTGTAGAAGAATTATATCAAACCTTAACGGTGGAGAAAATTAATTTTTACGTTCTTACTTCGAAGTATTGTAATTAACGTATACACTTGACGATAACCGTTAAAAAATGAAACAGTTAACTGGAGCGTGTCAATTTTTTGTATTATCTTTAAGGGTAATACATTTTCTAGCATTTTTATATGTGTAAAGTTTGAAATAAAATACAAGATATGTATACTTCTTATTTTGTTAGAGCATACAACATTTGTGACATTGAGAAATATTAATTACGTATAAATCTGCGTAAGAAACATGACATTAATCAAAAATATTATATTTTGTTCCATTACTTTTCTTTGCAAGTGTGAATGTTGAATGTAAGAAAGTAATAAAGGAAAATATATTGATAAATGGAAATGCGGCAAGAAAATACTATTCAGTAGTACCTAAAATATCCGGAATTTTTAGGAATCACTCGATATGCTCATCGAACGTCGATACTCAGAGTCTGAAACGTGAAAATGGCACACAAATGTATCCGTGTGTCATCCATATTTACGGATGATGCAAGACAACAATTTTTGTATTCTTCAATATTTTTTAATGAAACTAACGATTTTTCATTTTATTGCGTTTTTCCTACCGACAGTGCGACTAAACGTAACGTTATTCAAAGGATCTTATGACTATTGCGTGAGTAAAGTGGGTATTATTAGGAGCAAGCTAAAAGTTCTTGAAATACCGTTGTATTTGGTCTCTTTTTTACTAAGAATACATTAACAATATGTTGGTGAAAGTTTCGTGTCAATTTAATGAAAAATAATACAATTTTTATATTGAATTAGCAGGTTACAAGGAATATGTTATGATGTATCTTCTTAAAATCTCAGCTATCATTTGACAGGTCTACCCCTAACAATCTCGGTAAATTAATATTTACTACATTAATATGTGCCCTGTTTACTACCCTCATCTCGTAATAGTTCCATAAGTACTGGAGTCAATCGTGATAAAAATATCGTTATTTGGTTAGAAAAGGCCTCGAATTCTCGACGGCCCGTACAGAAATCTTTTGAATTTTCGAGGTAATACTGTATTATGTCCAGAGACATATAATAAGTTTCTGTTACTTCTTCAGGCTAGGGATGAATATGCAGTAGTCTTGACCCTGACAGACGGAAGGCTCGGAGAGGGCAACTTCATCACCCAAAGTTTGCTATTGCTGGTGGAAGATGTTAATGACAACGTACCGATATTTCGTCCGCATCCAACGTCTCTGACAATACGGGAAGATTCTGGACCGGGTATTTTAACTACTGTCGAAGCCACCGATACAGATTTGGGGGTACATGGCCAGGTGGTTTACTATCTGCAGGAACTTGACGGTGATAATGACGTGTTCAGCATTTCAACTATTAACGGGAAAGGTGTCATCCGTCTTGTCGGGCGTTTGGATTACGAGAAGAAATATTTGTACCAACTGAGGATTTTGGCGATTGATCGAGCAATAAATGAAAAGGTTAGTTCTCGGACTTTGGAAAGTTTGAATGAATTATTGAATGAACATTTTCGTTTGTAAGTGATAATTTTAGTCTGGGAGAAATTATATGCACATTAAGTAATTTTAATGGGGAATTTCACATATTTTGTGAAAGAGCAACTTATAATTCAGTTAACCCTTTCATTCCCAAATGATTTAACAATCATAAATGAAATATTTGATTGTATGTTTGTCCATATTAAATGAAATTTAAATAATTCACAAGAAGATTTTGACATTGTGAAAGCGTTTAGTGATATTTTTTACTCGTTACCATTTGACAACTTTCCTAATTTTATCGCAGTTCTGTATAATAATTTACATTGTACACAATAAAGACCATTTTTTTTACCTTTGATAAGTAAATCCTCGTGAAATATTTCGCAGAAATTAGGGCATTATAAGTTTTTATTGTATTTCTAAGAATACCAACCACTTGAATTCCAGTAAATTAAAGAAACTGAGAGCAGTAGTGCTTTATTTTGTTGATGGATAATCTCTATCATCCCACTGTATTATTTCTTTCTTGAGTGCATCGGTGCACTTGCAAACTGCAATTGTACCTTTTTTTAAATGAAACACTGTAATTTCTTTTACATAAGTTGATTCATCGTTCCACTCTGCGTATAAAATGTATGAAGTAAGGTCATTGAAAACAATACTTCACGACATATTTCACTTTCTACACAATTACTGTGTTAGCGTTGGATCATCACGCCACTGTCGTATTCTCCAACACTGTATTTACACACATACACAGTTTAACATGGCCCTTGTGTTCCGGTAATAAGGTATATTCACAGTCCGTTGTTTCGATAAATGGTTAAAAAAAAGATTTAAAAGTAATTGTTTAAATGTGGATACTAAACAAGTAACCAATGTCATGAAAAATCTAAAAAAGAACGTATAAAAAAATGTTGAGAATGTAATGATGAAACTAAAGTACTATGTTTTCAATGACCTTACATTAATATACAATACTTTTCATACGTAGAATGTCACGAGAAATCAATTTGTGGAAAAAAAGGGAAATTGCAATTTGCACGTGAAGAAAATAATACAGTCGGATGATAAAGATTGCTAAACAATGCAAAATTTTCCTCTCCAATTTTTTTGTAACTTCACTTGAAACAGAATTTTAGCCCGACCGAGTTACTAGAATCTCTCTGTATACTCACAGATTTGAAGAAGTACATGATACTAACATCCTGTTTTGTAATTTAAAATGCGTCACCATATGCTTACAATGGGAACGAAAGGGATAACAAATTTTTTCAAATTTTGTTTCAATCATTCTGAAACCCTCAGGCAGTTGCTACATCAGGATATTCATTACTTATAGGAAGTCAAGTTCGAACATTCACACTACTATACATATACAAGACATAGAAGTACAATTATCTATGAAAAGTGCCCCCTTCAAACACAGAAATTTCTTTTATCATAAATATCAAAATGTTTCTAAGATAAAAAAAATAACCTTGGAATATATGTATTAGAAAAACAATAAATCTTCTCAGTACAAATTAACATCGCGTCAAATATTACTATTTATTTTTGCTTCCATCATAGACAGTTTCCATGTGGTGCATATAATTACAGATTAAAATTCTTCGCAAATACTTTTCTACTGCCTCCACATTTCTACGTAATTATTGCAGGTAAATACCGGAACAACTGCGATACTCGTTAAGATTCAGGACGTCGAAGATCAACCACCAGAATTCATAACCATGACGCCTGTTGCTAGGATCAGTGAAAATGCCCGGATAGGCACTTCAGTTCTTCAAGGTCAGTATGAAGCAGAATCTTTACTGTCCGATAAAACGGTTAATTGTTAGCTGCTGTCAAACTGTCGTCGGAATAAACTAAAGTAGGCTTTGTATGATAACGTTCACTGCTACTGTAGTACAGTAGCGTCTCCCATACCCAGACAATTATTATCCGAACACTCTAGTATTCGAATGTTCTACTATTCTAATGTTCTGTTATCCAAAAAGATTGGTTCTTCGTAACAGATACATTCTTCTATTGCAAATGTGTCTGTGGTTATGAAAATGTCATAATGAGTCAACTAAATATTTTGCAGAAGTACTGGCTATTATTGTAATGTAAATCAATGTGACACCGGATCAGTGATACGTTCAATTTGTTTATATTTTTAGCTTACATACAATGTACACCCTTTTCTGTCTCTCTATCTAAAATCTCTATGGCAAACGAGACTGAATAACTGTTACTGTAAAAGCACAACCCCAGTTCAGATTTGAAAATTTGCAATTAAAAAAAAATTGTTTTTTTTTTAAACTGGACGTGCTGGAAAGAAACGGTTTGCAGATTCGTATTTAGCTTATGGCGATCTATCAAAAACGCCTACTAGAGGTTACAAGAACGAAAAAAAGTTAAAATTTGTTGAACAGTGTCATTTTTGTCTCACGGTACAACGAACCTTTGGTTGAATAAAAACCTTTACGTGTACCTTGGTAAAAATAGTAGAAAAATTTCCTTTATACCATTGAATATAGGAGAAAACTTCTTCGTCGGACCTCAGAGCACATAATGTGTGTGTCCAAGTGTTTGGTGGGGCGTTGGGTGCGTGGTTAAGGGGGGAGACTCCTTTGGGGCCAACTCCGAATCGATCGAAGCGCGGATGTAAACAACCGGACGCCAGCGGAAACACAAAATCGATATTTGGGACGGCTTGATAATACGACATCTAGCGGCAGTACTCACAAATAAATTTTGTTCCCCGTTACCATCAAGCTGGGTTTGTGTATTTCCTACGCGAAGACAGTGTTGCCGGACAGTATCGTTTTTCCTACGCTGTTGCCTCATGTCCCGCATGCAATTCTACCCGTGAGGAGAACGATGAAATAGCTACGGCCTACGGCTCGTGGCGAGATTTCGATTCTCGCCGAACGTCCAAGGCCAGCGAGCGACCCATCGGCATACAATGTAAACAGACATAGATGAGATAAGGAATGACGCACGAATGAAAATTTAAACTTTTACAATTTGCAATATATTTTAATGAAAATGTCATGAATGAATTGAAGAAATTCTCCCGATTAAAATGCGTCCAAATTCGAGTGTAATTGGACAATAGTTACTCATACGTAATGTTACGGATGAAAATGATATATTATTGAAAATTATCCGAATGATGTCGTATTTGGATTCATTTCCACCGACAGAATCTCCTCAGTTCATTCGTGACACTTTAATGAATGTATACTGAAAACTATAAAAGATTAAATTTGCATTCATGCGTTTCATTCCTTATCTGTTTACATTGTATTTCGATCGTCAGTCGCTGGCCTCTCGCCCGGCGCTCAACAGCCCATTTATTCCTGCTAGCCAAAGTTAGTCGAAGGAACAGTCAAGCGACAATGTTCTTTAGCTAACGATGAGCTGAGGCAGACAAAAAAGTTTAAAAAGACGCGAATCGATGTGATTCATATTGCATTATCCAAAATTCTATGCTGCTTATTTATTCACGGTATATTACAGTCTAGTCTGTATATACGAACTAAAATATGATTTGCAATATGAAACTGCCCGCGCGAGAGCGGTTACGTCAGCTAGTTATCCATAAAATGCGATGTTACAGTTTCTTTATTGCCATGACTAAGTATATCATTACTATCTATGTATATATATATATCAATAATTCTGCTCAATAACAATAGTGAAATCGAAAACTGGTTTTTTGACCATTCCAGACGATGTCCAACGAAACAGTATTCCTGTATCTTCGTTTTCGATCGTCCCCCGATGGTGACTTTCAGAGTGACCTAGGTCAGGCCACCATTATCGGGCCCAGTCATAACAAAATTCGTCGGTCAAAGCAAAGAAGCTACGAGCACCGAAGTAGTAAAAAATCTTCAGGTTTATAAGTCGAAAGTACGAGTTTTTTAGTTTTGTAACTTATTTCTAACTCTAACTTGTAAGTCTAACCACTTTTAATAGTTTGTAACTTATACCCTGCAATTTTCAGCATGTATGTATCTTAATTAAGTGTATAAGAGGTATTTGTTAAATTTTCACTATAGGATCAGAAAAAAAATGAAAAAAGGACCTCTTTAATATTTTTACTATTTTCTTCGCTATTCCAACAATTGTAATTTTTTCGAAATAACGAAAATATGTCATCTAATAAGTTAATCCTTCTAGCTTCTCAAAAAAACTCAAGTCGTTTGGTCCAATTTTTAAAACAAAATACGTACTGGAACAGGTGCAGACGCAGCGAAGATGATACGCTAAGTACGCATGCGACAGCAATCAGTTGTTAGTACAAAATCTATCTCCGCTGGGCGACGAATGAAAGATTGACAGAGCGTATGCGATTAATTGTGTTCCTTTTGTGTCTCTTTTATGAAATATTTGTGTAAGTATATAACACCTGCGTCAATTATGTCAATAAAAAATAAATAAATATCATTTCCAACAAGAGATTTGTATAGTATTCCATGTTTTTCGTATGTGGAATACCCGGAATATATATTGTGCCATTTTTACAATTTGTTTCTCGAGAATATCATGTCAAGTATCTCGTATGTAATTTCATTAATTAAAAAAATAAGCATCATTGCAAGTACGAATAAGAAGGTTCATCCTTGCACACATTAGTACGTATTGTTTAATTCTCGGATTTCTTTCCCTCGCGTCGTTATTTCCTACGTTCCGTGAGAATCGAAATCTCGCCATAAGCCGTAGGCCGTAGCTGTTCCATCGTTCTCCTGACGGGCAGAATTGTCGAATGGCAACAGCGTAACAAAACAATCGGTACGATCCACCATGTGTTGCGAGGTTACATTTACCGACTCCCTCTG